GTACTACGAAACAATTACATTGCAAGATTTTTCGTCTGGCAAGTGGCGCCTCTGTTAGATTTTTAAGAAATTATTATTTGTGAATGAAAACAACTTACAAAATATTTTACTGATGTTTTACGAGGGATAATTAAAGTTGACGTATTTGTAGGTACACCTTATTGTTTTACGTAAATCATTTCTGTAATACTAATATAGACATATTTATATAATATGTTTTACGAGGGATAATTAAAGTTTACGTATTTGTAGGTACTACACCTTATTGTTTTACGTAAATCATTTCTGTAATACTAATATAGACATATTTATATAATATGCAATGGGTTTCGTAGTACACCAATTTTACGGATTATTTTTTATTTTTTGAAAAATTATGTAAGTACAGGTAAAGGAGTCACTTTTTGAACATTTGAATTGGTTTATTTTGAGAAAATGTAAGAAGATATCTTTTTATCGAAAAAAAAAAAAAAAATAAAAATGCTGGAAGAGAACAATATATGTTTTTAATTTTACAGGAACATTTATTATTCTCAATAAAAATTAAAAAATACGTTAAAAGCTTTTTCGTCTACAGGGCGACACCAACAAAATGTATATCCTTTTCTACTGTTTACAAGTGATAAACGTACGCAAGTGATTTGAATTTATTTTGTTTTATGTCTGTACACTTTGTTATTTTACATACAGTAATTTCGCTCAATTATTTTATATAAATTTTATCATTTATTTATTAAAAAAATATATCCGAAATGAAAAAGTATACAATGAGATTTGAATTATAAATTAACTTTTATATTGCACGGGAATTTTTTTAATGAATACATCTTCGAGTTAAGAATAATGAATTCCAGCATGTTAACAACTCTTTAAACAGTTAAAGTAATGTATATTTTTTCGAACTTAGTAAATCTTTTTTTTTTGCTTTCGAGCGTGGCTTTGATCTCTCACACTCTTTGATGCGCGTTGCAAAAGAAGATTTTCTAAAAAGTTTGATAATGTCTATAGATGAGAAAAAAATGAATGTGACAAGAGATCAAGCTGATTGTGGATTGTAGCAAAATGAAAGACGAAAACGAGTCACTGTTTCAAAATTTGAAGACATTTGTAAAAAAAGGAAAGGCATTTTTTAAACAATCTCATAAAATCTTTTATTGTTTGCTAAAGCCTTTTAATATGACATGGACAATAAATCCAGAGCAAAATAAGATTTGGAAATTTATTAGCAAGAAAAATCCGCTTTAATATAAAAAATAACAGGTATAGAAAATATTTTTTAAAAACCTAGTTTATTTAAAAATATAAAATGTCATGGACCGTTTATTGTTTATTTACATTGGCCTCCTGTTTTTGTTATTTTGACTTTTTCTATCGAGGACATATTATTATGTGATAGAAGGGAATGTATTGCTAAACTATGGACGCTTTTCTACTCTTAATCAATTATTATTAGTAGAGTGTATGTATTAAAATATTCGCTCCAGAAAACGATTTATCCCCCTTTGTCACAAGCTGAATTTTTCAGAGATAAAAGGTCATGATAAGGTAACCCTTATTCCGGAGGTAACACAAAATTAGACTGTGCAGAAGGGCACTATCATCAAAAATCCAGATTCTGATACGCCGAATAAAAAAAAATATTTATTTTTTGGTCCAATGCGCAATAAACTCTGTAAGGAGTAATTTTTTATACTTATTTAAAAAAAATTTCAGCCCTTTAAAAATTTGTTTAAAAAGCCATTTTTTTAAATATAATTTTATCATTTAACAAAAAGGAAGACCGTAATGAAAAACGTAGTATAGCTCTGTTTCTCTCTACGTGTCGGCTGATGCATCACATTATTGATATGCTCAATTTTTTTTCATTTTTTTATTATGAAACTTTTCGTTAGGTGCCAATGGACAAAGTGTCATATTGTCTGTTTTTACTAAAAAAATTGATAAGTGTGTTACATATTAAAGTTCCTAATAAATTGGGACGAAATATAGACATTTTTTAGGTTTTTATTACATCTACATTCATCCTGTTATAGCTGAATGCCTGAATATATTTGGGTAAGTTGGGTAAGTTTTCGTTAAACATTTTAATTACGGATTTGTTATTGCAAGAAGCAAAGACACAAATAATATCAAAATATGACTTCTTAATCCTTGCATGGTCAACAGTTTCTTCACAATATTTTATTAGCAAAGGATATGGACAGAAGCATTAGGTAATTATGCCGAAATATTTAAGTTTGATCTGACAGCCTCTCCCATGTCTCTAACAGTAAATGGGTATCTCGGCACCTCTACAAATAAGAGTTTATTGGGAAATATTTTAGAGCAATATGACCCACAAAGACTTACCTGCACCTAGGTGATCTTGCAAAACTTGCCACATTTTTGATGGGATAGCAATAGCTTAAGGTTTGGGAAAGTCCAAAAGTTGCATATCATTTAAAGAATATGCTAATATATTTGTAAAGATTATTTTTAAAAATAAATTTAATGCTCAAAGGATAGATGTGGTATTTAATCATTATAAAGAAAATTCTATCAAAAATAAAACACGTCAAAAGAGATGATCCCAGAAATCAATTGATATAGAAATTGACCTACCCAATATTCCACTTCCAGAATAATGAAACTTGTTCATTCATTCGATATTTAATAAAAGACGTTTAACACATTTTCTTGAAAATTTGTATCTAGTGATGGATTCGCGAGTATCAATAAATATGGGATGAATTTTGAACCATCAAAAGACGATTTCTTAAATTTAAATCTTGAAGAAGCTGATACTCGTATCTTGTTGCACATATTATCAGCCAGAAATTCGGGGAATTCACGCTGCATTATTGATTGCAACGATAAAGATGTTGTAGTCTTATTAATTTATTTTAAGTAGTTTTGAACTAAAAAGATATGGTTCATAATAGGGCGAGGAGACTCGTGACGATTTATAACAGTACATGATTTAAATTTGGATAAAAAAAAACTTCTAAAAAAAATGCCTTCTTTTCATTCTGTGACAGGTCGTAATAAATCCAACCAATTGTCTGGCATTGGAAAAAGAACCTGTTGGAAAACCTACCTTGAACACCATCACCTTTTGGATGGATTTGGCACTGATTCGTAGGTACTCTGAAAACACATTCTCTAATCTTGAAAAAATTTTCATAAAACTGTATTCAAAAACTGCCAATGCCATTAACATTTTGAGGAGATTAATGGCCCCTTTAAAATAATTGCTAAATTGCCATTGACTGAAGACGCCCTAAGATTACATTGTTTAAGATGTTTTTACCAGCTAAGTATTTGGCTAAGCTCTTTAAAGACCCAGATGCAGCTTCCTAATGTTGAAGAGTATGAATGGAAAGTAGATCAAGATTTAAGCCTGATACCCACTCTTAAGATTATGCTCGGCCTGCTACCATAAATAACAGAACTTATCATGCAAATGCAAATAATTTTCATATATGTACAATATTTTAACAATATTATTCTATTCTAGACTATGGAAGCAAAATTTGCAAATGCAGAAAAAAATATTGGCTACGTCGGTTAATGCACCTGTATGGCACAGAAAAACTGCAGAATAGCCGCTAATGTTTTGGAAAATGTAGATTAATGTGGTGAATCTGATTTTGATTAGTTTGAGTCCTGTACTTATATATTTTAATATTATTAATTTATTGTATTCTGCAAAGCAATAGCCTTACTGTTTATAACCTATACTTATATATACTGTGCTTATACCTTCCATAAATAGTTTATATTTTATTTTTTTATTTTCCTCAAAAAAAAAAAAAAATCATGAAGTAATACACCCTATAAAACATTATTCGCCTTCATAGCGGATAAATCGATAATACCTATATAAAATAATGTAAGAGAATCAAACAGATTGCATACATTTAATCCCTGAGAGAGACGCATACAGTCAAGAGACTGCTTCCTTTCCTGTAAAACCGTGACATCAGTAATTGTTTATTGCTATATTTTTGTTAATTTCATAGCAAAAAATATAAGGAAAGCACTATTACCTTGTCAATACACAGGCGAAACTTTTTTGAAGAATATTTTTTTTTTTCGTTTAGGCCTTCGTTTTTCGTCAAATGAAAGGTATATTTCTAAAAGAAGATTTTTTTAACCAAATTTGTCGACAGCCAAAATAAGTTTTAATCTACACCATACTTATATTGTAAAATACATAGGTAATATTATTTTGTGCTATTGTGGAATATTTTTCGGTTCCTTTGTCTTCAACTTCGCGCGTTAAAGTTTAGAATATGCATCCCTCGTATCTACATGCAATTGTTAAAATGATGAATGAATGCTGATTTTATTTGGTTTCGGAAGTAATTTTGTAGTATTTAGGCTCCACCCTTAAGTTGTAATTTTTATACCTACTAAACTACCGTTGCCCCGCAGGTCTTTTAGTTTATAATGTAAATTTTCCTCTTAAGATAGTCTGTCTTAACAAATCTTACATTTTCCAATATAAAATTATAATTAAAACAGGTAGGTTGCAAAAACTCTTTATTATTCTGTCGTATCATACTAATAGTAAAAACGTACGCAAAATGAACAAAGTAAGTTTTGGAATTAATCATTCCTCTTTTTAAATTGTATTTAGTTCATGAATATTAGAGCAATAATATTTTCATGCTTTAAAATTCAAATTAATATTATTGCATTACTAATTTAAAAATATCCTATTAATATTATCATGTAAAACCTATATAAAAAATACACCAGTCCTTTACATTAGCCTGATATATTATAGTGCTAATGTTAAGCCCGGTCCCCCTCCCCTTTCTAAAATCTGTTATTTTAAAAACAAAGACGCATTTTTAATAAAATATTTTTGTGCCAATATTATTTTTATTTCTACAACAAAAAAAAATATATCGGGATTTATAATATGGTTCGGCATCACTGCAATATATCCGTCGAGTGCATAATAATAACGATCTGATCTAATGTTAACATTAAAAAATACTATTTATTTTCAGAGTTCTCTTAGTACTGACATAAGTGTAGAAGAAAATTGGGATTTGGAAGACACCAGTAATAAAGTAGATAAAGAAAATTATAGTAGAGATCAAGAAGTTATTCAAGACAGATCTGATTCTCGAGCAAGTCCTGAAGATGAATTTATAAGTGTCATTCCTAATCTTATCAACAACACTTTGGTAATTACTGTTTTTACCTTCATTCATAAAAATGTTTTTTTTTTTATTAATTTAAATTTTTAGGACTGGAGTGAAGAAGTTGAACTAAACGATAGACTAGAATCTGAATATTTCAGTGATGCCTTAACAAGAAGTTCCTCAATTGTTAGTTTACAAGACATACATTCAACGATGAAATCTTTACCCTCTAATATTAATGAAGCAAATACTTCCAAGAAGAGAAGGTAAATCCAATTATATAAATTGTGAATTTAATATACAGGGTGTTAAAAAAAAAGTGTCACAAAATAAAACGGGGGGTAGTATGGGCCAAAATATGCAGAAAAGTCTTAATAAACATATGTCCGCAAATGAATGGTTTCAGAGATATGGAGTGTTTTGTATCATTTTTTCATAGATACTATTTGCAGTTATTATTTTGTTGTGGGTGAATAATTTTATAAATTTTCGTTATGCCTGTTTACACTAATATCGAATTAGCTGACATGCATTTTATGTACGGTCGTGCAAATGGCAATGCGAGGGAAGCGCTACGTCAGTATTTGAACATCTCATTTAACTCTATGTTGTTATTGATTGTTTATAAATATCATTGTTTTTTATAATAATAAAAAATTGTTATAAACACAGAATGGTCCGTATCTCCGAAACCGTTAATTTGCGGTCATATATTTATTAAGACTTTTCTGCTTATTTTGGGTCATACTATTCACCATTTCATTTTGTGACACTTTTTTTTTAACACCCTGTATAGTAGATCGCAAATCGAAATCCGAAAGGTCAGAATTATCTGAAATAGGTTTTTTAAATAATTTGAAAATTCGGAAACTAATCTTAAAAATCCCCCTACGAATTATTAAGACCATCCCCGAACTACAAAAGTGAAAACAAATAATTGTAGATTTGAAAAAAAAAACCTGTCATCGCCGGGAGTCGATCCCAGACCTCCACGTTTTCCGGACGTGTGTCCTTGCCGTCAGGCTATCAACAACATTGTCTAGATTCCTTAACGGAAATTTGAAGTGCTAGTTCTAACCAGACGACGTTCAGATTCTTTCTCAAATCTACAAATACCTCCAATGCAGCATCCGTGTATAGGTATAAGAAATGCATTTTAATGTATACTGAGCTCATATCTTCGTCTGCCTCACGCGTCGCGTAGCTCTAAAGCTTAATTTATAACCGCCGTAACGTAACTTAAGAACTTAACGTAAGAAGTTGAAATATTGAATTTACGTATACTTAAGTATAATTTATAACCACCGTAACGTAACTTAACTTAACGCCGTAGAAACTTAACCTAAGATATAAAAATAAAGTATATTTATAAATATCCGTAACGTAAGAAATGAGCATGCGTGTTGATTTCAGAGATTATCAAATTACTGACACTGACAACCTTATGAAATAAACAAATGTAAATTATGTACTTAACCTCTAAATAAAACTTATAAATTATGATTTTGCTACATAGAAAGAATATATTAACTACTTTAAAAGCAATAATATTAAAATATAATAAAACAGAATAGTTTACTGAAGATGTTGATTGTTTTTGAGCAATAATGAGAATTTAATATTTCCTAACAAACTAGTTTTGTGTCTTATTTCAGTTCTAGACTTGATGTTTATAGGTATATGCAGCAACACTCATATCTTATAAATAGTTTATCCCCAATAAAATAAACACAAATCATTCATGATAATGTATATCCATCAAAAAGGAAAATGATAGTTTACAAATGGTATTTGTCTATTCATTTATAAAAAAAAAAATAAAAAGAGAATAATTGACAGTTATCACATGCTGAACTCAGAATTATCTCATTGGCTAACCGTAAGGTCTTAAGTTATGTTAAGTTGTTAAGTTAAAAGTTGGTGAACTTTCTACGGTACGTTAAGTTCTTAAGTTACGTTACGAACATTATAAATAAGTATACGTAAATTCAATATTTCAACTTCTTACGTTAAGTTCTTAAGTTACGCTACGGCGGTTATAAATTAAGCTTTATTTATAATGTTCGTAACGTAACTTAAGAACTTAACGTACCGTAGAAAGTTCGCCAACTTTTAACTTAACAACTTAACTTAAGACCTTACGGTTAGCCAATGAGATAATTCTAAGTTCAGCATGTTATTATTCTCTTTAATTTTTTGTTATAAATGAATAGACAAATACCATTTGTAAACTATCATTCTCCTTTTTGATGGACATACATTATCATGAATGATTTGTGTTTATGTTATTGGGGATAAACTATTTATGAGATATGAGTGTTGCTGCATATACCTATAAACATCAAATCCAGAACTGAAATAAGACACAAAATTAGTTTGCTAGGAAAGATTAAATTCTCATTATTGCTCAAAAACAATCAACATCTTCGGTAAACTATTCTGTTTTATTATATTATTGCTTTTAAAGTAGTTAATATACAAAATCATAATTTATAAGTTTTATTTAGAGGTTAGGTACATAGTTTACACTTGTTTATTTCATAAGGTTGTCAGTAATTTGATAATCTCTGAAATCAACACGCATGCTCAACTCTTACGTTACGGACATTTATAAATAGACTTTATTTTTATATCTTAGGTTAAGTTTCTACGGCGTTAAGTTAAGTTACGTTACGGTGGTTATAAATTATACTTAACTATTTGGTACAGTTTAAGTTACCGTCAGCAAAAAAAAAGGAACATTCGACACGGTCCTCAAAAATTACTGTTCAAACATTTTGTGGATATTGAGTACGCACAGGAATACTCAAGCTCATTTTCCCGAGTGTAAAACGGAGACATTTAATGTAGTTTTTTTACATAATAATATATATACTTAGTGACTTGTTTTTGTAAATGAGTTCAAGTATGGCAAACTAAAATCGTTACTTTTTATTATGAATTAATTTGAATTTATTTAAAAACAGGAACTGTGTATATGGTTTTCGTAGTTTTTACATACATATCAAAGTTATATATATTGGCCATTTACTCCACACAGCAAACTCATAGACCCAATACATATCACTATTTGACATTCTTATTAAACTAAGTGACTACACACAGAGTTGTTTGAAAGCGGCCATAAGGTATAATTTATTTATTGGATACTTTACAAACACTATAAAAAATTAATAGTAGTTACATGTAGAGTTAAGTAACAAGAAATTTAAAAACAAAACAACATTAATAACTAATAAATTTAATTTAGTACAGTCTTCAACTTTCTTAAACATTAAAGATATCTGGTTGGATCTCGCTAAGAAACTCATATTGTTAAAAGGAGATATACTACTTGGATCTACACTAAATAATTTTTTGTTACTTGAGATTCTTTGATTAATCTTTAACTTTGGCATATTAAAATATATATAGTTAATCAAATCACAATCTTTGTACTTAACATTATTTAAAATAGAGTACAAAAATATATCACAGCCTGTTGTTTTCTTCTTTGTAAAAGAGATTTAACCTTAAAGCTATCCAGCATAGTTTTAGTTTTTATAATGGTATGAGTTGTTTTTATGTCATAAAGGTATCGTAAAAATATGTTTTGTACTTTTTCAAATGATCAATATGTGTGGCTTCCATATAGTCTAGACAATGTTAATGCTGTTGCTACTACTGCTGGAAGGAAGCACAAAGCACTAGACAAGTTTTATCACTTCTATTCTTACAATTTACAACCATTAAAGTAAATGGCATGTTACTTCACGAAAACATAAATCAGTCGAATGCAATATATTTTCTTTTTATAACACACTTTTTTCGCTTGATTACTTCTAGGACTCTATTTATTCCAATGTCCTCAAATAAAAAGAGCAATAACACGTAACTATAAGGATAAAACACACACTAAAGTGTGTAAAATGACATTTATAGTTTGCTCATAGAAGCACCTAAAAATATTAATTATTTGATTAAAAACAATCTAAAGTCTGGCATATATTTTTAGTGTACAGGAATCAATTTATCTATGCAGGTTTATTTTTTGCACTTTATTGCAGTCTGGATGTTAAATGTCTTTAAATTTTAATCATCGTTTCCTTCGTGTCTGCTTACTTTCAAAACCTTCTAAGTAAGAGTAGAATAATTTTACAGGAGATACAAAAAAAAAACATATTATTTGTCTTAATATAAGATAGGCCTTTTAAAATATAACAATGCTCTAGATGATAAATTAAAAACATTAACATCAGATGCATCCACCCATGATTCATAACCAAACAAATTAATACAAATCATAATCCAAATAAACAAGAACGGTCAAGGGTCCTACATAAAACGGTTCGCTTTGAACTGTTAAACTAAAATACTCACCTAATCATTGGCCCCTCATCTATTGTTGATGATTTTCAGACGGCAATCAGACACCCATTTTAGGATAATGTGCATGTGACCATTGTATCTCTTTGGCGCGGCAACTATGTTTTACATTTAACTATTATTTGGATAGCAACCCGATGGTTCGGATCCCACAGCACACCATGTGATTTTCATGAATTTGCATGGTTCGTTATAGGATTTGATGGGTGGCGTATTTACTGTAAATTAATTTATGTTGGTAAGACTCCTAGATTCAACCCCATTGGGCTATTGTGTCGATGATCGTAGGCAGGATTTTTCCAGTCAAATGCCATCACCTATAATCTATAAGTAGCTCCGGAGCGCCACGGCAAATAATGATAGGCGTCCCTATCCCGAAATTTAATGTTGAAATACATGGTCAACCTACTTGATGAAACAAAATTTGATTTTTCTCGAAACCGGTCGACTTTAGAGCGTATGACCAAGAGTACCTTTTTTGTGTGGAAAACATTGGCGGTTCAAATGGGCGTCTCAAACCCGTACTTTTTCCAGTGGCGTAGAATTTTTTTTTTTTCTATTTCAACACCCAGTATCTTGAAAATGGTGCATTTTAGAGGGTAAGTTAATAGAAACGTTTTTTCATATTTTTGGACGAGCTATCACGACCTGAAGTCATGCGCATATATTATGAAACACCCTGTATATTCAGAGGCATTTTTTAAGGATCTTTGTTCCTTTTAATGTTAATATGTAGATAATTGTAGATTCGGGAAAGAATCTTTCGAACATTTACGTATGCAATGGAAATCGGATTAGGATAATAAAGGACAGTTGTATCCTCACACATACCATTTGGCTAAGGGCTAGTAAAACAAATATGCAGGTATTCCTGATAAAACCCGCTACGCTAGAGGCCAAGAGTGTTATTCTTATACCTATTCTAGCTCGTTGCATTGTGATATATATATAGCAGTCTCTTTTTCAAACTGGTGTGCATAAATTTAATTTGTCTTTACTTTCGATTCTATCTTATTGTGAAAACGGGATAATCTTTTTTTGCATTTGCTTTGTCAATACTCTTCTAAATGCGATAAAAACTTTTACTGCAAAAGCCTCATTTGAAGTTTTTGATTCTAGGAGAAATAGGCGAAGAAGCCTAAACAGGTAAGGATTGTTTGAACTGTAAATTAACTTTTTGTTTTTATGTAACCCAGCTTTAATCTGACCAAACATTTTATTCATTGATTAACCATACCATATTAATCAATAATTGTGTCTCTACTAAAACTAAATAAATAATTTTTTTTATATTACCCAAATTGTCATTACAAATTTATGCTATTTAATATCTTTTTTTGATCATTTGCTGGTGTTACTTCTTTTATAATTTATTGTCACAGTTCTTTAATTAACATCATGAGATTGTTCTTTTCTGATATCTCAAATGTGAATGCTTTGTTACTTTTTTTTTTTAAATATTTTGATTTGAACAAGCAGGATTTGTATTTCTATATTAATCGATTTACAGGGGTAGAGCCCTAGATGGCAGCCATTCGAGAACAAGAAACGACAGAACTAGACATAATTCAACTACAAGTATTGACAGCCGTGATAGCACCTTCAAAATTCCTCATGATCCACATCCTGCTGCATCCAGAAGAAGCTCGAGGGATACAAGAGATAATAGTTATGAAAGATATCATACTAGCTCTAGAAATGTCAGTAGAGATAGCAGCTGGGATAGACATCAAAATAGAGTACAGTCTTCCGGTAATGAAAATTGGAGGTGAGTACCCTTTTATTTTGCTTTTAGTAATGGACTTGATAAAGATAAGAAAATTTCGAAAACACCTTTATAGAAAACTGATACACCTGTTTAAAACAACTTCGTCTGCATTTATAGACAAATAAAACGACTGCTCTGTCGCATACCAATAATTCAAACCTTGTTAATTTTAACCATCTTTTAAAAATGTAACAAAAATATGTAACAGAACTGCAAGGTCAAGATATAACTAAACATTTGACTACACACTCGAATCTAGTGTGGATCACATAAAACATAAAAAACAATTAGGTTCATTTACTTCTTTTCAATTATCTACCTGAAATATAATATGTATTAGTGATGGATCGCTTTGAAAAGTCCACGGACAAGTCCGACGGACTAGTCTGAAAAGTTGACTATAGTCCAAACACACTTTTCAAAAGTGGAAAAGTGTATTGCGCGACAAATGGTTACTGACTTTTATAATGTTTTAAAGATGTTTTCAAATTTTCGTTTCATATCTTATTGAAATAGACTCCTAAAAAATTACCAAAAAATTAAAGGTTAAGTATTTTACAAATGATTTGCCTAAAAAAAAAAAAACGAAAATACAAACGCAAATATTGATCCCAAAGTGTTTTTGAAAAAATATCCAGGATGGAGATTTAACTGTGTGTCCTCTATGTTCCAAGGTCGACTACTTTTCATTGTGACTTCATTACTTTTCCGAAGGACATGTCCGTCGGACCAGTCCAAAAATTACTTTACATGAAAAGTCCCATCAATATTTATTAGATTTTTCCAGGGAGCAAAGATGCCATTTTGTTAACCTAACCCTAAAAGCATACATGTTTAATTTTATTTAATATATAAGATATCCGGACTCTAATGAGCTTAATAATTGGCTGACAAAAGTTGCTATTTTAAAACTTGGTTTTTGTTTGAAAACTTCCTTTTGGAGAAATGTTATTCAGTTAAATTTTCTAAAGGTTAGTTCATATATCAACTTGTTATTACCTGTTTTTGAGATATAAGATATAATGCCAAATACGAGTAATTAAATTAAATTCGTTTCATCATCTCCTCAGAGATGATGAGTTTATGGTCCTCCCTTTGAAAAAATATTCAGTATCTATTGTACTTTTAAATTACATAGCGCAGAAAAGCTACCCCCAATAAAAACCTCGACTCACAAATTCTTAAAACTAAACTGGTACATTTTCGTTTTTTAACATATAATAAACATCCTTTTTTTGTATTTTGTTAACAATTTTAGAGTGTAGAGTGTAAGTTGTAAAAGCAAAAGCAAACAGTTATTAATAGAACTTAAAAGCATTTATCTACAACCACCACACCAAATCTATTATGTATTTTTTTTTATAAGGAAATACATCATGACATACACTGTTACATGATGAAATTTGATTGTTTTGTTGGATTATTTTTTCAGTTCTGTATTCATTACTTTTTTATTAATATAACTTTTTTATGTTACAAAGAGAGGAGATAGAAAGAACCAGAAGGAACTCTGATAAAGATGGAAAAGTGATTCTGGAAGATATAAAGAATATAGATCCAGTGCCCAAAAAACCAGGTATTTTAGTTTTGCCACAAAAGAATGAAGCTAGAACAAATACTTCAGCTACCGCTGTTCCGAGTTTGAATACACATGATCATCCAAGGTAAATATAGTTATATAAAATCTTTATAATTCAAGAAAAAATTGTTCAAATTTTCTACTAAATATCAATAAATTGTTTTAATTTTAAATTCAATTTAACCTAGCTTAAGAAATTGTTATTGAGTCAAATATTTTTTTTAAATTATTACTTATATTTACAATCTTATCTAGACATGGTGTTCCTAAACATCAAGACTAAAAATTCATATAAATATAGGTCCGCAACCGCTTCATTGCATGCTGTTGAAATTTCAAGATTTTTTTCGTTTAACACATGCAGACTTCAAATGAGTAGTGTCAAAATTGATTGAAACAAGAGATTATCTACAATAAAGCCAGAGCCTAATAAATAATTTTAAAAATTTCTTATATTTTTTTTCTTGATAACTTTCGCAGATATAAAAACTACAGGAGACCAAAAAAGTTCTAAACAAAACAGAAAATTCATTTTATATTTGAAGGGTACAGGGAAAAAAGTGACATGTCATTTCACTTACAAATTCAGTAAATACCATTTCAATTTTCAAAACTAAATATTTTTACTTAAAAATGTTATATAAACATATTGCTTACACAAAACTGAATTTACATTATTACAAAATAGTATAGTTACATTTCTTGCTCTTTAAAAAAGTGGTGGAGAATTTATTGCAAAAAGAACTGTAGCAGTCAGTGTTTTGTAGGGAAGAAAGCAGCCATGTCATCCTAAAAGAAAAATCGGCATATTTTATACCAGGACCCCAATTCTTGAGCTGTGTGAATCATTCACATGATATTTGCAAAAATCGAATTCTTGGCAAATCAGCGAGTGTTCACTTCACATGAAAGATTGTGTGACAAGTTAACATGGGTTTTATCATGTGGATGTTGAATATTGCGTATAATAATATAATAATATTGTTACCGTACACCCTGCAGTAGCCTGCGGCTGTTTTAGAAAACATATGAGTACAAAAAGAAGTGCAATGTCACCCATTACCCTACAGTTTGTGCGGTGGTTAAAAGTATAAGTACGAGTAAAAGAAGAAGATAGAATAGTCCAGAAATGTCTGGAAATGTCATTCCTTTTCAAGAAAAATCTGGACAGTTCGAGAAGGGTCAAGCAAGTTGATGATCCTGTCGTCAGATTTGAGTTGGATGATAGACGTTATACGTTAATGTTATCAGTTGAATAGTTATTGTAAAAGTTGAGTTGAAATAAATTAAGATACCAAAAACCTGCGTAACAATATAATAATATAATAATATAATAATATAATAATATAATAATATAATAATATAATATAATAATATAATAATATAATAATATAATAATATAATAATATAATAATATAATAATATAATAATATAATAATATAATAATATAATAATATAATAATATAATAATATAATAATATAATAATATAATAATATAATAATATAATAATATAATAATATAATAATATAATATAATAATATAATAATATAATAATATAATAATATAATAATATAATAATATAATAATATAATAATATAATAATATAATAATATAATAATATAATAATATAATAATATAATAATATAATAATATAATAATATAATAATATAATAATAATAATATTCTCCCTAATTCACCTCTTACGAGTGAATTTCAACCCCTGAAGCCCACTAAGCGACTTGTGTAGGAGAAGGGGCGGCTATTATTATTTGCCGTGGCGCTCCGGGCGACTTGAAAATGATTGATGGCGCCATTTGACTTACAGATGAGGAAAACTCCACCCACCATCGAGATATAGATGTTGCCACTATTTTCTTCGCAGGCTGGACTTTAAATGGGCATTTTTGTAAATATATTGTATCTAAATAAAATTTCCAATCCAAGATAATGCCTTGTGACACTCTTATTACGATGAACGGCGATGGTTTTTAGCGGAAATTTTTAATAACTTTCTTAAACTCTTCTGTGGTCTCAAAAGGACTTTTCAAATCCCACAATCCTACATTTTTGTCATACTCTAAATAGGAGTGTCCCCCGACAGAGAATGTGATTTTTAATTCTTTCAAGCTAAGAATTATGTTGTTTACAATGAAATTAATAAAACGAAAAATGATCAAATGTTATTTTGTCCTTCAGCAGAGTAGCAGATTTGCAGTTCTTCAATATCGTCTTGTTCTAAGTATAAAAAAAAATTAAAAAGAAAAGCAACTTCATTTGATCCTTTTTTGGCGATTCCTTCATGATATAGGACATGTATGTTAAAGCCATACATAGATAATTGGCGTTTATAGTACAGGGTGCCACTCCACCACAGCCAGCACGTGCACTGAGCAGGAAGATCTACAGTAACTGCCCTGCTACAGCTGACTGACGTAATCCAGGATGCACTGACAAAGAAACGGTCGTGTGTGCCTTCCTAAACATAGAAGGAGCATTTGACAACACGCCACACGAATCTGTCAAAAGAGCACATGAATACAGATGAGTAGATAGCACCACATCCAGATGGATGGCTCAGCTGCTATCTACGGGAACTGCAGAGACACAGATAGGTCAGGACACCAAGTCCATCTGCACAACCTGAGGATGTCCTCAAGGAGGAGTTCTATCCCCACTAATGTGGAGTCTAACCGTAGACGAACTTCTATGCAGGTTGACTGACCTCGACATACCCTGTCAAGGTTATGACGACGACATAGTCATATTTGCTAGAGGCACGTTTAAAAATATCCTGTGTGATATAGTACAACGAGGACTAGAACATACTAAAAGATGGTGGCGTGAAGTGGGAATTAGTATAAACCCTACAAAAACAGCACTAGTAGCCTTTTCAAGGAAAAGAAAACTTAATCTGAACACCATTAAATTAAACGGGATAGATATATAATGGGAAAGTGAAGTCAAATATTTAGACCTAACCCTGGACAACAAACTTCTCTGGAACACACATTAGAAGAAATTAGTAAATAAGGCCACAAAAGCCCTAATGGTATGCAGAAACATTGCGGGTAAACGATGGGGATGTAACCCGAACACACCGCGATGGATGTATATTGCAATAGTGAGACCAATCATCATTTACGGAGCTATAGCTTGGAGTAACAGAACTAGTTTAGCTACTACGAGAGCTAATATCTCAAAAGTAACAAAGACTATCCTGTGTTTGCATCACTGGTGCAATGAGAACCTGCCCTACAGCCGCAATGTTAAACCTCGCCTCTTACTTGGATCCCGGATGATAACGGGACATAGCGAGATTGCACATAGTCTCGCAAGGAAAGGGGCTCAAATATCTTTTGTGAGACCGTTCTGCCGTATCAGCAGTAACATATTATTAGGAGAAATTAAAAAAGAATTGTGCAGTAGAAGAACCGATAATTGGAACAATCTCTTGGGGCTGAGACGGGCTATGATACTTCTGGGCGAATATAACCAGAAAAGATCCGAAGCCTGCATCTGCCTGAGCAAAAACAGGCTACGTATTGTAACAGGGATTCTTCCTGGGCATTGCCGACTAAAAGGACACCTTAGTAAACTGAGAGTAGTAGAAGATAGTGAGTGTAGATTCTGTGAGGAGGAGGAGGACGAAACCTCCATTTATATTCTAATGTGTAGCGCTCCAGAATCCAAGGGCACTTATACCTAGGAGCATATCAAATAGAAGAGGGAGATTTACCCAACTTGAAGCCACTCCAAATCCTACACTTTTTTGATACATTTCCTTGCTACATTAGCGATAGAAGGGGGCACAATAGTTTTTTTGGGTCGCATTGTATTAACACCCTATTCCCAACATAACAGTACAAGTCGTTCATGGCAATTTTTGGAATTGAAATATTTTTTGCAAAGCCAATGCAGATGGCTTCCTTTTTGTTACTTTTTGCAATTCTTCTTTGAATAGAACGTTTCGGCCTTCCTCTTATGTAAATCATTCATTACTGTTAATTTTCTAATCTCATCTGAATCCTTTTCAGCAGACAAGCTTTTAACCTTGAAATTCGTCACACGTTGCACATGTGTCACTCCGGGGATATCCAAACGAAATATTGAATTCTTTATTAAAAATTGTTCTTTAAGTTTCGTAAGAGGCCTTAACATTTTTTTTTTATTGTATGCTCTTCGGGAACTTAAATAAGTTTTTTTGTACCTTTTAGACTAGTGGCTTTGGCGAGCCTTAAAACTTTTGATGTGGTCACATAAAAAACGTTTGGTTAAATCGTCCAGCTTTTTATGCAGTGTACTATGCTTTCCACTTCTATCTTTAGGAGCTGCACCAGTTCGTTTTAGGTTTTCATTTATTTAAATTAGTTTATTTTTTGTCATCCCATGCATAGATCAAAACACTTTGGCACATACCGGAATGTCACGATCGAGAACTTGAATTCGATACGAATAACTAGCAGTACTCATTTTGACGTAGCCTTCTTTGTTTGACAGGCATCACCGTAATCAGTCCAACTAAATAGTAATTTTGCGCTCATCGTAACAGAGCAGAGCATTGAAGTTTCTTAATATTCCTTCCTTTGTTCTTCATTAATCACAGCAAAAGATTTTAATCTTAGGCAGTTACGACCAGCTTCATGGGTCGATAATTTCAACTTTTTAGAGACCTCTGACATCCGGCCGGTTTTCTTGCTTTTTTTTTAATCCTTCATTTTGGACTCGTCCGAATCACTACTACCCATTACTGTTGCTTCCACACACAAAATACAACAAACTAATTCTGTCGCGGTCACAATACCACTGGAACGTTTTACACAATGCGCTAGTTTAGTGTGATGTCATTTTGGTTCCACTGACATTTAAGTCTAACCAAACTTTTAACAAAAACATCAATAAATTTGACATATACGTTTTTACTGTTTTTAGTTTATTTCTAAATATTTTTTACAGGTCATAAAAAATAGTTTAAAGGTATGTAATTGGTAACTAAACTATTGTATATTTGATACATGCTATCTACTTACTTTAGGAATATATTTATAGAAGTGAAAAAACGATATAATTTAGGTAAACAAAACGAACAAAACGCTCTCAAAAAATCTACTGTCACTTTAATTGTCAGTGGAACCATAATTACATCATCACTGAACTAGCGCATATTTCATCAGATGGTTTATTTACATGACATCGCTGGTTTTTTCCCGTACGCTTAGGTGGTTTTATCCTGTACCAGTGGCAGCTCGTGGTAATTTAAAATGGGTTTTTTATTTTTTTCCCAATAATTTTAGCATTTGTAAGCTCGGTTCAAAACTTTTTACCTGCGCCAATATCGCTGTTTTTTTTTTATTTGGGTTTGAATTAAGTGTAGTTATTATCAATATCATACTGTTTTCAAGCAATACAACTATTAACTAACTTGCTGTACTGTAGTGATATATAATCGATTAATCAAAAATAATCGATTGGAACAATCGATTAATCGAATAGAAGAGATTATTTTTAAGTAATCGATAATAATCAATTATTTATTGTTTCGGCCTTTACTTGATGAAAATCCATTTAATTTTGAAAGAGTAAAACCAAATTTGGTAGATTTTCACACTTTTATTTTAAAAATAAAAATTTAAAAAAAAAAAAACACTAACATGACATATGTTTCGAAGTACAACTTCTTTTTCAATTTGATTTATTATTTATTTCATACTCTTTTTACTTTTTTTTCCACAATAAAACAACTCATCGTAGCTTGTTGACACAATTAAATGACAAATGTAAATAGAGGTTACGTTAAATAACATCCGGTCCGCCATATTATTTGCCCAAATCGGCCAATTTTTCGGAACGTTTTTTATAGGGCTATATCCTATCCAGTAAAATAATACAGATCAGTGGCAATACATCTCTCATCATTTTCCTTGCCCTAACAATGTTTTATAATATATATATTAACGTTGGTTTTCCCATCCAGCACCCCTATTCACTCGTTTTCCCGCAAAATGGATAAAATTAATGGCAAAAATGGCATATTTTTATTTTAAAAAAATTAATTGTGTCATTATTCATTTGCACAAGATATGAAACCTGTACGCAATATTTTTCATAATATGTTACACAAAACCACGCTCGTTTTTTCCCGGTTTGAGTGTTCTGAAATAAGCGTCTTGAGTAGGGGAATTTAATGGCGCCTCTACCTAACTTTTCAATAAAAAGTGACATCTGTTTTTTTCCCTGAACTCTTAATTTTATAATTGTAGTACTTACAGTATAGACTACCAGTACATCACTACTACTGTAAAAAGGGTTGCATACCCTTCGGGGTCATCAACCATTCTTTTAAGGCGGTAACACTTTTGATTGCCTTTGTCAACTGTTGTTCAAGGTGGTATTATTTAATGTTTTGATGGTTATGCAACAGGTTGTGTAGATTTTCGCTAGCTATGAATGGCGAATAAATGTGTTCAAAATTGAACTTGTTTTATTTATGAAGAAACAAGTCTTCTCTACATAATCTACCAAGGACCCATTGCTAAAAAGTTCAGGGCTCCTGAAAAAATATCACCCTGTAGATTCTCACAACCGTTTGGCTTGCTCAATAATGTAAGCCCTACATCGTAACCTAGATAACAAATTTGAGCTAAATATCTATAAACTGCAGGAGCTAAAAAGAAAAAACTTCTTGAAATTTTAACACAGTAATTAAGCGTTTGCGGACCTAGGTTTATATCAATTTTTAGTCATGAAATAAGCAAACGAATTACCCACTTTCTAATATACATGATGTATATAAATAAAATTAAGCAAATGCTTTGATATTACAGTGCACCAGTTTTTGTATTAAAATTCTTATAGATAACGTTTTGGGAAAGTTAATAATTTTTTAGCATTACTTGAACCAGTATAATAATATGTCATGGGTGTCCCAACAAAACAGCATATTTTAAATAAAAGTAATAATTTATTTTAAAGTACGTGTTATTTATATTTTAATATAAAGTTTATATACCTATTGAATTTAAACGTGGAAAATATATCCGACAAATGGCCGCCCCTATCTAGCCGACAGACTCTTATTCTTTTCAGGAAAATTTCAATGGTTTTTTTACACAATTATTGTGGCTAAATTTCATTCTTCATCTGTTGAATTGTTGGTCTATTAGTGTACACGAGCGAGGGGTTCAAAAACTTCCAAAGGAAGAAATCACAAGGCCGTAAGTTGCATGATCTTGCTGGCCAGTTTTGATCTTCATTACGTGAAATGACAGGACCGGTCTACTCTTCTTAACAACTCAATTGTTTCACGTGTAGGGTGACAGGTTGTTCCATCCTGCTGAAAACACATACCATCTAACTCGGACCATAAAAACTGAGTCAAAATCTTACATTATTATCCAGTATTCTTAAAGTTGTGAAGGCAATATTAACAGATGATATTATTATGGCTTTTTCAAAGAGTTGCCAACAACTACCAATCTTGCCAAGTATCAGCAGTTTCTTTTTATTGCATTAGAGGATGGCAAACAAGTGAACTACTATATTGTCTAATTATAACAAATATGCAGAGTGTGATATTTTTAATAAAATTTAACCCATTATTGGCCAAGTATTGAAAAAATAGATAACGTAATGAAATATTTTTTTTTAAATAATTTACTATAGCATCAAATAAAAGTAATAGTCCAGTTTTTTATTATTATAATACAAGAACATACAAAAAATTACTGTTGCGTTGAACGTAACTTTGGCTGAAACACTTGACTTGAATGATATCCTTCAAAACAATTGCAATTTCTTGCCTGACTATGATCTGCATCTTTTTATAAGTTGTTTAAATATTAAATTACTCGATTGGTCCCGACGAACATCGGCTGGGATGTTGTTAAGAAACGGAGCTTTTTCCCCTTCTATACCAATCCTGTAATTAGCTACACCATTACTATATCGACATCTCCATACATAGGAATTACAAATTATTTTGTTACGTTCATTGTCCGTTTTTCAGTTCTATTGTATCTTTTTGCTGTTTTTGTAGCTTTGGCATGGTAATGTGTACTATCAACTTGATGACATAATTATCACACCATCTAGCTAAAGAAATAAAAGTGTCCTGGTCAAAACACCTATCGTATGATCCTCCTCTGTCGGTTTCATTATTTTGGATGATCTTATGGAATATGTTGGATTCTATCTTCTCGAATCCTTACATGCTCACCTTGTTTGTGTTCAGTTTCTGTAAATGCCTTGTCTAATGCCAGTTTTACCTCCTTTTGTGTAAATATTTTCGGCATTTTTTACCAGAAAAATCCACAACAGTTTTTTTGTAATTATTGAAGAATGCTGTAAGACATCCGAATGTATTAAGGATAAAGAGCAATACGACAAGCCTGAATATGTATAAGAAACTGAATCATGTTGTTTACTTATTAGGCCAACGTTGCGTTTACGCAACGCATCACTTAACGGCTAGAAAGGTAAATCAATCCATATAAAAAAAAAACTATTTTTTTTACAGAAAACTTTTATTTCAGTCTTTTTTAAGGAGGTCCTTTCGCCACCAATGTTAAATAAAAAATATTAGATTATGACTAAAATTAATTTTTTTCTAATAGTAGAAGTCCTTATTTATCTAATAGTGAACTTTTAACTATACCTTACCGTGCAAATTTTTGAGAACTTTTTTTTTTAAAAATGTGTGTGTTTGTACATTGTCTTACGAGAAAGTAAGACTTCATCAACAATTTTCGAATTATAATTAATTTTACTATTATTTATTGAAAAAAAAAAAAAACTAAAAATAAGGTTTTTGAAATATTTAGGTTTTGTTTTTTACAATAAAATATATAGGTTACCGTGGAATTTATTGAGAAATTAATATTAAAAAATCACAAAAAATTTTCAACTACGTTACTTCAATTTTTTTTTTAATATTAATTTCTCAATAAATTCCAAGGTAACCTATATATTTTATTGTAAAAAACAAAACCTAAATATTTCAAAAACACTATTTTTAGTTTTTTTCTATTTCATCTAATCAATAAATAATAATATAATTCGAGAATTGTTGTTGAGGTCTTATTTTCTCGTAAGACACTGTACAAATACTCACATTTAAAAAAAAAATTCTCAAAAATTTGCACGGTAAGGTATAGTTAAAAGTTCAACATTAGATAAATAAGGACTTCAACTATTAGAAAAAAAAATAAATTTTAGTCATAATCTAATATTTTTTATTTAACATTGGTGGCGAAAGGGGTGGCGAAAGGACCTCCTTAAATGTATATCAAAAATAATAGCAGTTAGTTATAATTTACAATGTAGTATTGTTTGAAAAGAAAATATTTGGTAGTTTTCAAGTAAACACAATTTTACTTAGTTATTTAGAAAAATGTCTAGTTTTTTTTCGTAGTCTTAAAACAATGCTGTTCACTAAAAAAAAACAAATATTCTTATATAAAATTTTTAATGACCCAAAAAACTGTAGTGTTGCGTGTACGTAACGGTGGCAGGTAATGGGTTAAAGTGCCAACTTGCACTACATTACTGATCTTAATTTTTATATTGATATTTTAAATTTATTCTTTAGATTGTTTGTATACTACAGATACATATTTACAGTAAAATGCATTTTAACAACAATTCCTTGTTTTCTAATCACAAAGTGATTAAACTATTCTTATAAATATTTCTATGGTGTATTCTCATTGGAACACCCTTTATATTATTCAAGGTTGTTCAGTCATCATTTACAAATGCTGCAAAAGTAAAAAAATGTTTATATAATTTTTTTTCTTTATATTTATATACATTTTTTATGTGTTCAAATCAGATATCCTGAAGCTCGACGCTCTCCTGGTCAACAACAAAAGAGCCTCTACGATCCTAACAATCCTTCTAAACCTATAATTGTAAAATCCACAAGTGCTAGAGTAAATATTCCTGGTTTTTCTGATAACACAGATGCTTCTCCTCCCCAAATATACACCACTGATCAATTTGGAAATCTCCGACCACCTTGGTATGACGAAACTACTGAATCCTTCAAATCCTGTCACTACCCTGACTTATTAAGAGATGTTAAAAAAGCCGACAATGATATACAATGTATTATCGATGGAGGGATGCTTCTTGTACGATGGGAAGTTGTTGACAACTTGAGGAGTTTTCTTAAAGAAGCTATGGAGTATTTAATATGCAAGGGCATCAAGTTTTGTCAGAAAGAGAATGTCGAGCAACATTTTTGGAATATCATGTATCACAATATTATCGAAGTTACCAGAAACGCTATCAAGAGTGATCCTGAAAATAAAGAAAATTACAAAGGTATGTATGTTTTTCAATTTCAATAATTTTTAGAGAAAAAGTTGTCAATCTAAATTATTTATCTCTTTTAAATATTAATATATTATGTTATATTATGTTAAAAGGTCTGAATAAATGCTATTAATAAAATGGTGTGAATGGTAACCCTTATTCCGGAGGTAATACAAAATTAGACTGTGCAGAAGGGCACTATCATCAAAAATCCAGATATTGATACCACCGAATAGAGAAAAAAATACTCATTTTTTGGTCAAATGCACAATAAAATCTTTGCAGGGAGTAATTGTTCATACTTACAAGTATTAGAAATTAAAAATTTAAAAAAACCGACCACCCCTGAGGTATCCCCTTACTAACAAAAAAGAATCATATAAATCGGACAAGGTGGTAAAGCATTATCGCTAAACATACATAAAAAATGAAGAGTTTGAGGATTTTCTCACAGACCCAATTATTATATTTTGACCAAATTTATATGGGACCACCCCTGAAGTACCCCCTTTCCAACAAAAAAAGAATTATTTAAATCGGACACCGTGCTGAAGAATTATCGCTGAACATACATAAAAAAAAAATATCGCGACGAATTGATAACCTTTTTTGAAGTCGGTTAAAAATCATTTGCATTAGCCCTTACGGCTGAAAAAAAATATAAACGTAAATATCTTGGTTTTAGCCCTTCAAAAATTTAGTTAAAAAGTCGTCTTTTTTAAATATACCACTCATTTAACAAAAAACGAAGGCCTAAATGAAAAAAAAAAACATTCTTTATAAAATTTTTGCTTATGTGTTGACAAGGTAACAGAGTAAACACCATATTTTTTGCTTTTAAATTAACAAAGATATAACAATAAACGATTGGAGATGTCATAGGTTTATGCTGTAATTAATTCTCACCGCCAATTTTATCGACTCTTAGTGTATCTTTCTCTTCACCTTCAAACGTAGCATAGCTCTGTTTCTCTCTACGTGCCGGCTGATGTATCACATTATTGATATGGTAGGATTTTTTCATTTTTTTTATTATAAAACTTCTCGTTATGTTCCATTGGGCAATGTGTCATATCGTTATCTGTTTTTACTAAAGAATTAATAAGTGTATGTGTTATATATTAAATTACCTAATAAATTGGGAAAAAATATAGACATTTTTGCATCTTTATTATATCTACATTCATCCTGTTGCAGCTGAATATATTTGGGTAAGTTATAAGTTTTTGTTTAAAATTTTAATTACGGATTTGTTGTTGCAAGTAGCAAAGACAAAAATTATATCAAAATCGGAAAGCCCAAAAGTTGCATATCATTTAAAGAATATGTTCATATATTTGTAAACATTATTTTTAGAAATAAATTTAATGCTCAAATGATAGATGTGGTATTTGATCATTATAAAGGACATTCTATCAAAAATACAACAAGCCAAAAGAGAGGATTTCAGAAATCAATTGATATAGAAATTGACCGACCCAATATTCCACTTCCGCAACAATAGAACTTGTTTATTCATTCGATATTTAACAAAAGACGTTTAACAAATTTTCTACCAGAGCAACTTCTTCAAAACTCCATTCAGCAAAAGCATATTCAATTTCTAACTAGTGGTGGATTTGCGAAAATCAATAAATATGGGAAGAATTTTGAACCATCGAAAGACGATTTTTTAAATTAAAATCACGAAGACGCTGATAATCGTATCTTATTGCACATATTGTCAGCCAAAAATTCGGGGCATTCACGCTGCATTATTTATTGCAACGATACAGATGTTCTAGTCTTATTAATTAATTTTAAGAAGTTTTTGACTAAAGATATATGGTTCAGAACAGGGCGAGGAGACTCAAGACGATTTTTAGCAGTACATTATTTAAATTTGGATGAAAACCTTCTAAAAAGTGTGCCTGCTTTTCATTCTCTGACCGGTTGTGATACAACCTGCCAATTGTCCGGCATTGGGAAAAGAACCTGTTGGAAAACCTACCTTAAACACCATTACTTTTTAGATGGATTTGGCACTGATCAGTACTCTGAAAACATATTCTCTAATCTTGAAAGAATTTTCATAAAAATTTATTCAAAACTGCCAATATTACTTCCATTAACATTTTGAGGGGATTATTGGCCTCTTCAAAAACCATCGCTAAATTGCCACCGACTGAAGACGCCCTAAGACTACATTGTTTAAGGTATTTTTACCAGATAAATATTTGGCTAAGCTCTTTAAACCCAGATGCGGCTTCCTAATGTTGAAGAGAATGGATGGAAAGTAGATCAAGATGGAAGTCTGATGCAAAAAAGATACTATACAATATTCTAACAATAATATTCTGTTCTAGACTGTGAAAGTAAAATTTGCAAATGCAGGAAAAAAAATATTTGCTGTATCGGTTCCTGCACCTGTATGGCACAGAAAAACTGCAGAAATAGTTTGACCTCAGCCGTTAATGTTTTGGAAAATGTTGATTCGTGTGGTGAATCTGATTCTGATTAGTTTGAAAGTCTTGTAATTATAAATTTTAATATTATTAATTTATGCTTTATATACTTCCTTCCAATAATAATAATTATTATTATAATTTATTTATATTGGGGATTTATTGTATTTTGCAAAGCAATAGCCTTACTGTTTATAATTGATACTTCAATAAATAGTTTATATTTTCTTATTTTTCATTTTCCTCCAAAAATAAAAAAAAATCTTGAAGTAATTAATACACCCTATTATTTATAGTGGATAAATCAATAATCCCTGTATAAAATAATATAAGAGAGTTAAACTGATTGCATACATTTTAATACTGAGAGAGATGCATAAAGAATCGGGAGGCTCTGCCTTTAATGTTTAATTTTTAGTAAAACCATGACATCACTAAGTGTTTATTGCTATATTTTTGTTAATTTAAAAGCAAAAAATATGAGGAAAGTACTTTTACCTTGTCAATACATAGGCGAAACTTTTATAAAAAATAGTTTTTTTTTCATTTAGGCCTTCGTTTTTCGTCAAATGAGAGGTATATTTCTAAAAGAAGATTTTTTTATACAAATTTGTAGACTGTTGAAACCGAGATATTGACGTAAATGATTTTTTTTAAATAATTATAAAAAAATACTTCCTACAAAGACCTAATTGAGCATTAGAACAAAAAATAAGCATTTTTTTTTCTATACGGTGGTATCAATAACTCGATTTTTTATGATAATGCCCTTTTGCACAGTCTAATTTTGTATTACCTCCGGAATAAGGGTTAGCTTATCATGTACTATCTTCCCTGAAAAACTCAGCTTGTAAAATCGAAGTGGGAGGCAAAGTTAAAATAAGTTTTAATCTACACCATACTATATGACTATTTCATTATTCTCGTTTTGTTTACAAAATTAGTTACATATATTTAAAAAGCTAAAATAATTCAACCTATTTTATTGCAACTGAACCCAAAAAATTTTGAATATTAGTTATATTCAATTTAACTAAATTAGATGTAATTTCACTAAATTAGATGTAATAATTTTCAACAAATTCCAAAACCTAGTGATGTTAGATTGGAAGTGGCAACAGGGCTTACACCAGCAAGGAAATTTACGGTATGTAGTATAAGCGCGGGCAGTTATTCATTGATAAAACTACGCAAAATTCTCTCTATCCCTTCTCTTACTTCTCACCTTTCGTCGCCTCGCCCCGCGTCTAGAAATAGAATGTATACATTGCGAACCATTGTTGGCACCGTGAATATTATATTTTATCAATGACTGCTTATATCTCTGTTATCTCTGGATTAGACCCAGATATTTTACTTGGTTCGTTTTGTTTAGCCTTCCTCCAAATAGAGTCGGAGTTTCTAAAACCTCCAACCTTGTTTTCCGAGTAAAGGTTATGAGTTGTGCCTTGTCAGGGTTTACCAAGAGGTTTTTCCTAACGCACCACATTTCTGTCAGCCTAAGAGCTCTTTGCATGAGTTCAAAGACTGTGGTTTGGTGTTTCCCTCGGATAAGGATGACTATGTCATCGGCATATCCTTGGGCGTACAGCCCTGGATTGTTTAGTGTTTTCAGCAGTTCATCTGCCACTAGGTTCCACAGTAGAGGAGAAGGGACTCCACCCTGTGGGCATCCCCTGTGGATATTGACCTACATGGTTTCACTGAACATTTGTGCCTGTACTTGCCGTCCGCATAACATATCTTCTATCCACCAACAGATGGTGTCTTCTATTCCATGTTTGCGAGCGGCAGCTACCATTGATTTAAAGGAGGTATTATAAAAAGCTCCTTATATGTCAAGAAATGCTCCTAGGACTATTTCTTGGCTACTGAGTCCTCCCTCTATCTTGGTTACAAGATGATGCAGAGCAGACTCACAAGATTTTCCTGGTTGATAGGCATGTTGGTTTGTATGAAATGGCCTCTCTATCAGAGTGGTTTGCCGAACATGCTGATCAATCAGTTTTTCCAATCATTTCAATAAAAATGACGTCAGAGTTATTGGTCTATAGGCCTTTGCCACGGCATACGTTGACGCCCCGGTTTAGGTATAAAGACAACTCTGCTTTATTTCCAGGTATTTGGTACATGTTTATGCACCAAACTTGCCCTGTAGAGCCTACAAATATGCGGGGCCAGCGTTTCTATTGCCTGTTGCAAAAGCACAGGCAGTACCCCATCTGGTCCCGGTGATTTGTATGGATTGAAGGTGCGAATTGCCCATGTTCTCTGTTGTAACTACCCGTTTAGCAGTTTCCCACTCTTGACTGGAGACTCTTTTTTGAGAGTTCCAGTTCGTGTGGGTTTGTTTTGCTGCATTCGAGTTTAATGTGCAATCAGGGAAATGAGTTTTAAGAAGTAGTTCTAATGTTTCCATTCCAGTTTGTGTATTCCCCTGTTTGGGTTTTTAAAGTCCCCACAGGGTTTATTGGATCTTTTGCTAGAATGCGGTGGAGTCTGCATCCTTCAGTTGTATTTTCAATTTCCTGACAGAATGTTCTCCATGAATACCTCTTAGATTTCCTAAGAGTTTTGTTATACTCTGTGAGTGTTTCGGTGTATTCCCCCCACTTATTCGTCTTTTTAGCCTTATTAAATAGTGTACGTGCTTTCCTTCTGAGTTTGGCGAGTTCGGTGTTCCACCAGCTCACCTCCCTAGAAGTTTTCCTGTTCTTTAACGAGCAGTTATTGCGATATGATGTTATGATTGCGTCCCGTAGTTGTTCTGCAACTTCATCTATATCATGTTTAGTATTAAGAGTTATTTTAACGGTTTTTAACACTGCCCCCAGTTCCACTCCGTATCCAAACCAATCGGTTTTATGTGAGTCTCGGTATACATCTCCTGGTTTATCGATGTTGTCGATTTCCATTATAATATGCCGATGATCTGAGAGCGAAGGCTCTCTAGATACGTACCACTTGCCAATGTGATTTGAAACGAAGGAAGAGCCAAGGGTAATATCAATAACCTCGCTCCGTCTACTGATTACAAAAGTAGGTTCGTTTCCACGATTCAATATTTTCAGGTTAGTGGTTAGAATGAATTCAAGTAAAGACCTCTTTTGTTGTTGTCCTTGCTGCCCCATGTTATATGGTGTGAATTTGCGTCAGCAGCAATGAGTACCTGCAGGTTTTCAGCCCGACAGGTATCTACTAAATCCCTCAGCTCATATGTTGGTGGAGGGCTGAGCGAGTCATAGGGAAGGTATGCAGAGGTTAAAATGAGTGGCCTCTTGTTGTCTGCTATGTTTATTTCCATACTCTCTTAAACAGAAATCTTGTAAGTTAAGGATGTTTAGATCATTTCGTATGTATATACAAGCCCAAGTGTTTCCACATTGGGTATTGTATATTAACTTACCTTTGGTTTGTCCGAGCCCCATCACATGCCCTTTGTATATCCAGGGTTCTTGTATTGGGGCTACGTCTATGTCCTCCCTGATAATAGTACGTGCAAGGCGGCCTTGCAGTGTCTCAGATTAACTTGCACTATTCTAAGCATCTGAAGGTTCTTCCTTCCTCTCCCTTTGCACCCTGAAGATTGCCTGAGTTAGGCTCACATAGGGTTTTAACTCAAGGTTTTCTAAAGCTTTCAGAGAGTCGTCGTCAATCAACAGTACAATGGTTTGACCGTTGTCTTCCACTTGCCTGTGAATGGCTTGCCACTGTTCCGTTTGGAGCCCTTGGTTTTGAGTTTTGAGGAACGCAAGTACCTTTGTTGTTTCCATGTTCTGCATGGGTTTGGGTATCCAGGCCACAACTTTGTTGGTTCGGACGATTTCGCTAGAGGGTCCTACCATAAGTTGTGCTCCCTGCCATGGTTGGAGCTGGGGGATTATTTCGGAGAGCCAGATTTTAGCGGTCTCATTGGCACAGATCAAGAAGAGCGCTCCGTTATGGAAATATCCCTTCTTGAACTGTGGTCCTGATCCCTCCACACTCTTCAAAATTTCTCCCATCAGTTTTTCCTGAGTCTGATTCGCTTGCTCCTCAGTCAGTTTTTCCTTGAGAAATTCTTTAGGTACTACCGCCATTTTCATGGGTGTTAGTGCCTCTTTATAGGACAAGCCACCTTCTACCGCTTGCGCTGCAGATGTGGTTGCCCTTGCTCTGTCAGACCCAATTTGAGGCTTCTTGGGGTGACCTCTTACCTCCATTGAAGATGGACTGTCACTTTGGAGGCGGCCCCGTTTGAGTTGGGGAGTTTGATTTGGAGTTCGGTTGGCTCCGTCCTTCTCTCAGCTCTGGGTCTGATTGGTTTTCCTTCAGCCTTAGCCTTTTGAATTGCCAGTTTCTTCTTTTGGACGCCTGAGAGTCGCTCATGCGGCTCCAGGTGAGTCCTGTTGAGTTTTGAGGCAACTCGTTTCAGGCTAGTTTCTTGCTTGGGGTTTGTAGAACTGCCACTTGCCTCCGAAGGTTGTTCCACCTTAGGGTGTTGTCCAGAGGTTGATGAAGACGAAGTTAATTCTTCTGGAATCGCTTCGGTTTCCATTACCTCAGTTGCTAGTTGTGGAAGGTTTCCTCTTTCTGGGAGTTCCCTGTCCGCGGTTGTTTTTGTGTTAGATTCTTCCTTATTGGTCCCACGAGTAGCTAGGGAAATAGATGTCCACCCGATCAGAGCCCCGCATGGCCGGGTAAGGCTAGATACAAGGGTGTTTCGCCAAGTGCCCCCAGAGGAACGTTCGCAACCGCTTTCCCAGCGGCCATTCAGCTTTCAGCACGTTGCCTTTCACCTTAGCTTGTGTTATTGATGGAGTGCCATTTAGTTAATTAATAGTGCTGTTTATAGAGCAGCAATATTAACATATCCAGCGGTGCCATGAGGAGGCAGACACTCGATGATTGTATTTCTCCATTGGCATGCAGAAAGAGTTACCTACAAGCAGATAAGCAAACAAGCAAGCAATCTAAGATACAAAGCAATGGCTAAACTACAACCAACCCCGCCCAACAACAAATTAAAAATCAACGAACTGTCACTTGGTAATAAATCGGAACGTTGGAACTGTAGTAATGAAATCACCGCGATCGAAAAAATTAAAAACGGACCGGTAAAAGCTTTTGGGGTTTCAGAGGGGATCAACACTAGGCGATTATCAAAATAAATAATGAAAATCCCAATTTGAAAGATACAGCTAGTGATGCCGCGAGACGAGAGATCCTCGTCTGTGGAAAACAGATTCGAGACGAGAGAGTGTTATCTTTCGTCGAGAATTTCTCGTTTTTCTCGAGCTCTCTAGCAATTTACTTTTTGGCATTGTAATCCGGCTCGAAGGACCAAATGGATGTGTATTGCTTTTCTGGACTTTTCTTTTAATGTGAAAATGAATTAAAAATGCAAATTTAATTTCTGTATATTGAAAACATTACATTTCTAACTGACAGATATCTAACATATAACTATAGTAACGTGAAAATTGGATGGGTTGAGTCGGCTCCAACAACTTTCAAGCAATATAAAGATACTACAAGTTGTTGAGAATAAATTAATAGGATTTTCTATTTGTTGATAAAATGAATGAAGTTATGCATATGTAACTAACAATACAAGAAAGTAATATTGGTTGCCTAGATGTCAGTGTTGTTTTATCAAATCACTATAAATATTATAAATAATCTAGTCAAAATTAGAAAAATATTGTATGTAACACGTTACGAAATGCCGTTTTATGTAACTTGTTCATGTTGCGGGACCTCGCTCTGCTCGTCCCGCAAATATTCACTTGTTACATAAAGTAAGACATTTCGTAACTGGTTGAATAAATAGCTATTAGTACACCCGATTCTGAAGCCGATTCATATTTGCATTTTTTAGTTTTTGATTAAGCAGAGGATAAATTATAAAGATGATTATCCAAATCAAAAAAATAGTGCGAAATTCTTATATTCATAATCAAACAGTGTGTAAATGATTTGTTGATTATAGTTTTAATTTTTGAACTATTGAAATTATTATATTTTAATTTATTTAAGGATTTTTATTGTGCCTGATTGATGAGGGCAGCAAATATTTTGAGAGACTTCTGACAGTACTTGAAGAAACCTACGATTTTAAGCTCAATAATTTTATGAAAGAAAATCCAGGTGGTCATAAAGGAATGGGACTGGTAGGACTTGCTTTAATATGTACCCAAAAAATATTACTTTTCCTAGGCGACTTAGGCAGGTACAGGGAAGAAGTAAATGAAACATCCAATTATGGAAAATGTAGACAGTGAGTATTATATATTTTTTAAGTTTGATACTGATTTAATTTAACGTTTGAAATTTTTAGGTGGTATATTAAATCCCATGAAATTAATCCTAAGAATGGCAAACCTTATAACCAATTGGCACTTTTGGCTGTTTATGCGGTAAGAAAATATGCACATTTGTTAATTTGATGATAAAAACTAATTTGAAAATTATTAAATATATTACAAAATATTGTATTCTTTAATTTCGCTTTACCTTGAAAACGCGTGTCATGACTTTGAGGCTTATATGGCAAATCATTTCTGGCAATTTTAATTTTTGTTCTACAATATTCTTTTTTCTAAATCAAAATGAGTTGAATCGACTGCAGAAGCTGCAGAATCGGGCAATGATAATTATATTATCTTGTAATCTTATTCAAAATGTAATGCTTGAAGCTTTGAATTGAATGCCAATCAAAAGTTTTTTATTAAGAGCTATTGCACTGCTCACAAATGTAATCAAAATGTGTGAATTTCAATTCTAGACGGCACAATATTGAATATATTTTATTAATTTTTTGCAAAAAGATAAAGACTGGGACTATCATCCTACAGACGCTTTTGATTAAAATATAAACGGTTCAACCAGAAAAAAAATCTAAAAGTTCAATAAAATTGTTAAAAAGAACCTAACTTTACCAGACAAATTATATTAAAAATGCATTGTTTTTCAAATACAACGATGTAAATGTAGTTTCATCTTTTCTCAATAGAAAAAATAATTAAAATTGGATTTGAAATAAAGATATAATCATATAAATACGGAAAGATTGTTGTTCCCAGAAATATCTATAAAACTGAATATTTTAACTCCCTTCTCTCCACGATTGCATTTTCATCGACACATCGCTCGGCGTTACTCGTTTTCAATCGACTAGTGCAAAGCACTGCCCGAGGCTTGATTGGGCGTTTTTTAATTTTTATCAGTATAGGACTCATCAGTACAAATGCATTAATTATAATCTTTTTAGATTCTTAACTTTCGTTTAGGTAATAATAATAATTATTAGGTACATTCCTAAATCCTACACAGTTTGTTAAAAGGAAATATTGTTAATTAGTTAAGAGCTGTTGCACTGTTTACTATTATAATCGAAATGTGTGAATTTCGAGTAAATGCTTTTAATTCTAGAAGTCACAAAAATAAATATATTTTAATACTTTTTTTTGAAAGGATGGAACCATTATGTAAACATTTTTAATAAAAACCTAAACGGTACTCCATGAATGTTTAAAAAAAAAAAAATTGAAGAAATCGTTATCAAATTTTAATGAGAACTAACAAATTTATCAAAGGGCTTGTCCGAACTTAAAAGAACTTTCGGAAATAAGAAAAAAAGAAAAGAGTAACAACACATTTTAAACCGACGTTAAATAAATTAAAAACAAACTAGTTTAGTTTTATTTTTGAATCCTTTTTTGTTTTTTTTTTGTTTTGTTTTGGATTGCTTCTAAAATATAAGCTGCTTCCCTTAATGACATCCCTCGTACGCGTCTGAATCTACCAGTTCTGGCAATATATATATATATATTTTTTTAAAAAAACCTAATTTGTATTCCATTTTGTTTTTCCAGAAATCATTTCTCTTTAGTATGTACTCTACTTTGAGTTGATATTTATGGTCTGTCCAAACACCAAAGATACATCCTTTCTGGTCAGTAACATGTAATTGGCCTTGTATTTGGTAATACCATTGGTGTTCTGTATTTACTACATATTCCCCAGTTTTTTATCAATATTCCAAAACGGAATTTTCTTTTTTCCTATTGCGTCGTCCACTTCCATTTTATACGCTTAATATGGACATTTTACCTCATCCACAAGATCATCGCCAAGGATTCCATCTGGTGTTGCACCTAAGAAATAATGTTTTTTTTTTACATTTTTTTTTCTAATGTTTTTAGTGTATACAAATAATATAATAACGGTACCCGAATCTATATATTTTTAAGTAAGAAAAATATTACATATAATTTACCAACCTAAATATGGATATTTTCGGTCGATAAAAATTCCACATTTTTCAATTAAATTGTTTTCTTGTTTTTGTAGTTGAAATAATGCCACTTTCTCATATTTTTTTCCATGAGAAATGGAAGCTGCTTTTGGAGATGACTCATAAACTATTCTTTTTACCAATGGTCAACTCAAAGTGCTTCTTCTTCTTCTAGTACATACTGCCTTAAAATGTGACGCTGTAATCATTTTCCTTCGGACTTCAAGCCATAAGCTACTATTTGCCTGGGAAAGTTTTTTCTTGAATTGATCATCTTTCAGAATCCGATGATGGTAATCCTTTAAGAAAATCTTTTTTATTTGCTTCAAAATTTTAATCCAAATCTGGTTTGCTGCAGTTTTCGCCATAGTCGAAATCGGTATTGGTTGCCCGAACACCCTTTTTTTTTTCTTATACTATATTTAGCTTTTATAGCCCAAAATCGTCATTGTTTTATTTGCTAATAGCGATGAGTTACTTCCCAAAGTTTTCTTTAATTCAGAATTACCACATTTTGAATTGAATGAAACAACTGCACCAAAACACCTACTTTGGTACGATCGTCCTTTTGAGTAATTAACTCTTTTACCTCCTACAAATCTGGCGACAATAGAGTGAAATTGTTAAACAATATTGCTGTCAACATTATATAACAGACCTACTTTTATCTGACAAGGAATGTAATATTTTCTGAAGTCTTATAAAAAAATCGGAACTAGATTTCAAATTAGATACAACATTTAGAGTGTCATCTGAATTTTTCTTACAAAAATAATCATCGCAAATATATGTAGAACAGAATTAACATTTAATGGGAAGTGCGTATCCAGAAATTAGCTTTGCATATTTAATACCTTGCAATTTTACGCTGTTTAAAACCCTCTAACAAAATGGTGGATTCCATTCCCGTAGAAGTTCCAGTATAGTTTTTATAGCATTTATGTTCAATTTGTTTATTGGCTAAAAAAATCGAACAAAATTATTTTTTTAGACCTATATAAAACTTTTCCAATTAATAATGAATAATGATTCATGATTAACCTCTCAAAAATCAAATTTTCGTTTTTGGCAATGAAATGTTTTTTATTTTAGAGGAGAAAATTGGATGCTGTCTATTATTATATGAGGAGTTTAATGTCTTCAAATCCAGTTCCGTCAGCAAGACATAACCTTGTGTCTCTATTTCACGAAAACAAAAAAAAGGTAAGTACATTTTTTTGCAAATTGAATTCTTCTGATGTCCAGTTGCAGTGGAACATTCAAATAAAAAACAGTTACTTTGTAGAATCATAAAATTTAAATAATAACCAAATTTGATATATGAACAGTGGCCTAAAACTAGAGGGTACTAAGGTCTTCCTTATTCATATGTACCCCTGTACGAGCCTGGGTATTGTAGCATTTGATTCAATTAATTTTATCGTACATGAAAACTTAACACTGGTAGACGAAGGAAAGATTTTTGAATTTATTCTTGTAGGTACATGCTAAGCATGGCGTCTTTTACACCTATGCTGCATTGGTAGATTGAAGGAGAATTGAATGAGCTGGGGCGGGGGAGAATGTGTGTAGTGATGTAAAATGCTCAAGCTCGTATTTTTGGAGGAAGTTCCCCGAGCACGAATAAGCATGAACGAGAATAAACGAGCATAAATGAAAAAAAAAAAAAAAAAACCCGAGAATTTATGTTTGGTGAATGGTAAAGTATTTAAGAACTTACTCTTCGCGGTTCTTTCCGAAAATGCTTAAAATTCTCAAAATGCTGAAAATGCTCAATATTCTCCTAACGCTTATTAAGAAAATGACACTAATAATATTTTATGTTGCAAATAATACAGTAATAATTTCTAACATTAAAAAAACTTTATTAGTTAAAAAATGTAAGTAACGTAAGTTAAGAAAAATGACGGAAGAAAAATGAAGTGAGACAGTCGGTTTAGATCCAAAAAACTGAGATGCAATTTTAGAAATATGGAAATGTATAATCGCCAATTCCCCTACGAAATTTTGAAAAACAAACTAAAGAAATATTAAAAAAGCTGACGAAAATCGGAATCTGATTGATTTCAAATTTACGAGTTTGACTGTTGCAGCCATGTGCTTCGATGGCCCAACTGGTAGAGGCACCGACGTCTCTAATCAGAATATATCAAGTTCGATACATGCTCGATGCAATCATTTTTTCTTTTGTTTAATTTTTCATAGTTTCGCAGGGGGAATTGGGAATTATATATTTTCATATTTCCAAAATTGCATTTCAGTTTTTCAAATATCAACTTTCTCACTTTACTTTTTTTTTGGAAAAAAAATTAACACTAATTTAATCTGACCACACGCGCTGACCTTTACGCAACAAATCGAATGTGTTAACTAAATAAAATAGTTTACTACCATAGCAGCAGCATTATAATCATGCAATGACGCAGATGAAGCGGACTGAGATCGTGCTAAAAATTCTCGTTCGTGCTGAATGTGCTTTTTGGGGAACGTTCGCGCACGATTGTTCGTTTGTGCGCGGAAGCACGATCTATCATGCGTTCACGAACGATTTATCGTTTGCAAACGTTTTCCTCCACAGCACGATGAGAATGTTACTCTCTTTATATCACTAAATGTGTGTACCGACTATAGTTGATATGTCATAACTATGGCCCGTGGCAGTCTAATTGGTAGAGTGATGATGCGTAAATCGGAGATCCAGATTCTCTAGCTGGGCACAAATATTTTTCTTCTTCTAGCTTTTCAATTTTTCTTTGGTTTGTTTTTACTTTGGGGTTGTGGGGATGAATTCATTAATTTCATATCGGGGGAATTGACGTTTTCATTTTCACTTTTTCAAACGCATACTTTAGTTTTCGAGTCTTTAATCAATAAATCAATATACTCTCTCCACTTTCAAAAAATTGATATAACTATGTAACTATTTTATAAATAATGCTTGATAGATTTTTTCTTTTTTCATTAAATCTATTTCAGTCCACTTCGACTCATTATGGATAATATATATCAAGGGGTTGAGATTAAGGGGCACTTCCATTGTTTTTGGCTATATGGATACATTTGGTGCAATTGGGACTTTGCATTACTTATCTCTCGAAATAGATAAAAATAAATATTTAAATACATTTTTAACAGAAAACTTTATTTCATAATAAAGGAACTTATTCAACTGTACAAGAATAATTTATGCTCGTATTTTTATACTGAATTTATAAATATTTTTTTCATGCTTATCTTCAGTATTATCAGATCTGTGTACGTATTCGACAATTTTTTATTATGTATTTTTTTTAAGTTAAAAGTTAAAAGAGCGGTAATCCAATTATTAAAAAACACTCCATGTTAAGTTTGAATTAATATCATACAACCTTCCACTATGCAAGATACGACTTATTTAATTTGAATTTATAATGATACAGAAGGTAAAAATTAAGCAGTATTCAATAAAAATTTGCAAATATGAACTGCAGACAGATTCGCTTTAAAACATTATCGCCAATCGTCAATAAAGCCATACATTACTATAACGATTTGCTAAAGTAAACAAATACTTTATCTCATTGCAAAAATCAAATATTTTATCTGCCGCTAATATTTATCAACATAGCCATGATTGTCTGGTTGTTTCCCATATCATATTAAAATGTGATGTTATAATATTTCCTTTTTTATTTATTATAATTATTTACGGTTGACGATAAAAGTTTGTATGGACCACGTCAGAAAGCGTCTTTATCGAACTCGCCTGTTACTCGCTTTGGTCGTTTCTCTCGCTCCGTTTATAATCTCAGACTAGTTCGATAAAGAATCACTTTGCTGACTTGGTATATAAATAATTTTTTTTTTTGATACAATAATGATTATTATTTACAGAATTTGAAATTTTAAAAATGTAGTCATATCATTTGGCTTGATTTTTTGGGTTTTGTGTCTAAAAGCGTGCCTTGATTTTCCGAGATTTTATTATACAGGGTGTAACAAACAGATTTACGGTAAATTGAACTTGAAAATAAGTCGACAGCTTGTCCGAACTCCGCTTTGCGTCGAACCTGCTCGAGAAAGAGTCATTTTCCGCACTTGTTAGGAAAATAACTATACCGACTATCTTAAAAAGGGTAAAACCTTAGATTAAAGAGACCGAAGATGTAACATTGCACACAGCGCATGTCTTCTATTTCAACCTTAAGTAACCCACCAATTAAAAATAATTGTTTCCACGATGCCACCTGAATTGCTCTGACATTTATATTCTACGTTCATCTCCGCGGGACCACCGTTTTTTGATATATTCGTTGGCGTTATTAGTAATTTATAGTGTTTTAGATATTCAATTTCAAGTTGAAAATGCCACGATATATCGTGAAAAATTGAATATACTTATAATTTAAGTGCCAATGTTATGAAAGATAAGAAATTATATTCGTTTTCAAGGGTAAATATTTATTAACGTTTGACATGAAGCCGCCATGATCCTTTAGGCTGAATACTTCAGATGCACATTAAGGGATTTCTCTAAATATTAAGCATAAAATAATTCAGAAATTACATAAATTTACGAAGGGACATTATTTTGAACATTTCATTTAGTCATATGTAAATAAAAAGTAAAAAGGCATGGTTGCTAACGAAATTTTGATTTTAAAAAGTAGTTTTATAAGAATATTTACTAAAATTGGTTTTAAGATCTTTTGGTGCGTAGATAAGAAGTAAAGAGGCATAGTTGCTAACGAAATTTTATTTTTATAAGAATATTAGATAAAATACAGGATGATTTACTTAAAATTTCAAAGTTCATCTTATTTGCGGTCAAATCGAAAGTGATATTTGAAACTTAAGTCTTAAAACAAAGTAAAACGTTAAATATTATCTAGTATAAGCAAAAAGAAATACTAAAGTTACGGGAGTTAGTCACATTGAAAAATATATGGAACCTTGATCAATCGGCATTCAGCCACGATCCTTCCAAAACGAAAATAGTAGGAGGAAAAGGACTGCCTGCTACACGAACTGTAAGTGGCCCTGGAAGAGAGAACACTACAGTTCTCCTGGCTTGCAGTGCAGTAGGAGACAAATGTCCGCCATTCTTCATTTTCAAAGGGAAAAACGTTTGGAATCAATGGGCTCCTAATAAAAAATGAAGAATTTCCTGCTTCAACTTTTGAGGCAAACTTAAAACGGCTGGATGGAGTCTTCAGTGTTCCTCAATTATTTTGAAAACTCTTATAAAAGCAGCAAAGCCGTTTGCCAGTAGCCCCGTTCTTCTGATCTATGACAGCCATATCAGTTTAAAATGAGTAGAATTGGCTGTGAAAAATCATGACAATTCTCTTACTTCCTCCTCATTTAAGTCATTTACTGCAATCACTGGATCTGGTAGTTTTCAAGTCAATTAAATCATCGTGGGATAAGTATCTCTGCAAAAGGTTAAGACAACAAGGCTGCCAGAAAATCTCGAAACGTCTAATGACGATTGATATAGGAGAACTATGGAAAAAGTTGGATACTGATATTGTTAGGAAAGCTGGCATCTTTCCATTTAATAAGGATATCATTCCTAGAGAACAGTTTGACAAACTATCTTTAGAACGATGGAAAAATCATCAAAACTGGAAGTTGTTCAATCTGCAGCGCCTGAAATAAGACTCAAATTTAGCACCCGAAACTAATCAGTCTTTAGTACCTAAAACCCAAAAGCAGGTTCAAAACTCCCTGAATACTTTTGAAAAATTACTACTATCAACTATTTCGTCTCATAATCAAAGAGTTGAACCAGCTAAGAAAACCAAAGTGTGTTTAGGGTCAAAAGTCATCACATCCCAAGAGTGTATGAAAATTTTAAAAGAGAAAGAAGACGCCGAAGAACGAAAAAAGCTGTAAAAAAAGAGAAAGAAAACAAAAGAAAATCAAAAAAGGAAGAAAACGCCAAAGATAAGAAAAATAAACCAAAGAAGACAAGAGTGAATCCAAAGAAAAAGTCAAAATTTGATGTGTCATCATCTAATGAGGAAAAAATTCAATTTAATGATGAATCAGGCGAAGATATGGTAAAAGGGATCCAGTCTGGGTTTAATATAGACAACCTACCAATAAATCTCGAGACAGAGTTAGCCATATTTATTAATCCAGAAATCATCCATTTCCGTTCTTGAAATGAAACGAATCTATAACTCTCGATGTTACAGAAACTAGCATTGGTTCATTTG